GTTCTGGTCGGTCGTGCGCCTGAGAGGAGCCTTCCGATCAATCTCTCCCGATCTCAATTTGTAACGGCCTTTTATACTAATTTATAACAAACAGTGAGGCTGTTTGTTGACCTTGCGGTTATCCCCCGCGCGGTTGTTCGGCGTTTCTTTGTTAATATTCTTACTATTGATACTACCGTCGTGACGTCGTTTTCCGGATCGTCACATTTCTTCAAAAACATTTGTCAAAACCAGGTTCCGCATTAATCGCCGAAATCCAATTTCTGATACTGCTTATATGCGGTAAATGTAAAATTGATCTAAAAATAATATTTAATATTTTTAATAATAATATGTAATCTTTAACATTAATTTAAAAATCTTATAAATAACAATGACAATTGAGAAATATATCTGCAATAATTATAAGCCTTCGGCGAATAAAAATGTAAAGTTATAGCAAATTTTTTTATTTTATCGCTATATCAACAACCTTTCTTATTTCTATTTTTATTGATCCATTCATTTTGGAATAGTTTGCTAATGCTTGCATCAAAATTGTTAGCTATAATCTCACTTGGATCTCTCTCAAGAAGATTCTTTGTTCTAATTAAATGTACAATTCAATGTTTATACAATTCACATTAATAAAATGTATATAATTTTATAATTTTAAATATTTTACACATTATTTGCACAAAGCTGCATAAATTGAAGCTTGCCTTTATTCAATCAGTTTGTTTGATATAGCATATCTTTTGCAGCATTTCTTTGTGCATTTTAGTAGGCTTACTTAAATGTGCTTGGTTCATGACGTTTTGGATATGTCAAAATCGACCAGCACTTACTGCTGGAGCCATCTATTGACAAACAGCGGGAACTTAGTTGCGCACCTAATAGAATTAACGGTAGGAACAGAAGTTTCACAAAATATCGAAGGTACAGCAAAATTTTTTAAACGTACGCCACTTGTATTAAGTCTATCCATAAAATCTGTTCCATAAAATAAAGTGAGCACTAAGATTAAGTGATTACTACAGATTAAATGATATTTGTTGGGTTCAAAACCGACTCTTCCAATGGCATTAATCCACATTTTTAAAATATCCGGACGATTTAACGGAAACCTGAAATATTTACATTTTTAACTGAAACATAATCTTCAAATATTACAAAACTCGAATTATAAATAAATACATTTTACTTACCTAAATAAATGAAAACCATCTTTTGTGGTATTTTTGCATTTTGGAATGCAACAACAGCTAGGCATCTTTCAAGAATTTTTTTTTGTATCACCACGTCGGGTATCACATGTGCATGCACATGACAGATATACACATCACACGCGTACCGCCGCCATTTTATTGTAGGGTGTCATGGTTGAAACCGGAAATCCTGCCGGTCACACCTCTTTTGACGAAGTTAGCGATCTAGTACTAGTATAGACATCTGTGGTTTCTAAGTATGTCTTGATCACTTTCGCAATATGGGGTCGAGCATTGTCATGCTGCAAAATCACTTTATCGTGTCTCTTGTTGTATTGCGGCCGTTTGTCTTTCAATGCTTGAACGCATCAATTGCGTTCGATACCGATCGCCTGTGATTGTTTCAGTCGGTTTTAATAGCTCATAATACACTACGCCGAGCTGGTCCCACCAAATACAGAGCATGATCTTGGAGCCGTGAATATTTGGTTTGGCCGTCAACGTGGAAGCATGGCTGGGAACTCACCATGATTTTCTGCGCTTGGGGTTATCGTAATGAACCCATTTTTCGTCCCCAATCACAATGCGATACAGAAATCTTTTCCGTCTTTGCCTTTCAAGCAGCTGTTCACAAGCAAATAAACACCATTCAACATCTCTCGGCTTCAATTCGTACGACACTCAATTTCCTTACTTCTGAATCATTCCCATGGCTTTGAGACGTTTTGAAATGGCTTGTTAAGTCACTCCCAATGATCGTGCCAATTCTTCCCTTATAGAAATATCATACTAAGAATCATTGATAATTATTTATTTTCAGTATTAAAAATACTGGATAATAAGTAATTATCAATTATTCTTAGTATGATATTTCTATAAGGGTAACGTAATGAATTGCATAGAATAATGAAAGCAAAGGTGGTTATTTAAACCTAAACTGCTTTTAATTGAATTTGTAGACATATATTTCAATGTCAAAACATAAAATACTATTTGATACTGCAGGTATCTCCTGTGGCATTGTCACATGTATGTTTGTAATATAAGGTGTAGTAAAAAGAAATCCATTATTTTTGCATAAAATTGAAGGCTTTATTTAGCATAGTTAGAATGATCCGATTTAAGTCAAATATGCACCGTTTTGTTCGATAACTTGTTGTCATTTTGAAGGTAATTCGATTATGTCTCTCTCATAGAAACCCTTGTCCCTATTGGCAAAAAACTGGGACAGTCGATTTTCATAAGCTTCTCTTGAGGCGAATTTTTCACCAGCAAAATCATTCGCCATAAACAGGAACAGGTGGTAATCACTTCGTGCCAGGTCCGGACTATAAGGTGGATGCATAAGAACCTTTCAACCAAGCTTCCGGAACTTCTGGCGAGTCACTATCGATGTGTGTGGCCTGGCGTTGTCCTGATGGAACACAATTCCTTTCCTATTGGCCAAAGCTGGCCGCTTCTGGGCGATTGATTCCTTCAGACGGTCCAATTGTTGACAGTACAGGTCCGAATTAAGAGTTTGGCAGTAGGGGAGCAGCTCATAGCGGATGATTCCCTGCCAATCCCACCAAACACACAGCAAAGTCTTCCTGACCGTCAATCCTGTCTTGGCCACCGTTTGCGCCGGCTCACCGCGTTTCAACCACGACTGTTTTCGCTTGACGTTGTCGTAAGTGACCCACTTTTCATCACCAGTCACCATCCGCAGCAGAAATGGGTCGATTTTGTTGCGATTCAGCAGCGATTTGCAGATGGAAATTCGGTCCATGAGGTTTCTTTTGCGTTAACTCGTGTGGCATACATCGAGCTTCTTTTTGTATGCAGCCTTATTCAAGTGGTTCCAAACAGTTTTTTGTGCAATGTTTAGCTCCTGGGCAATCGAAACAGTGCTTACATGACGGTCGGACTCGACGATTTCCATTATTTTATCGACATTTTCGACAATTGGTCTTCCAGAGCGTGGTGCATCTTTGACATCAAAATTACCGGAACGGAATCGACGAAACCAAAATTGCGCGTGATTGGCTGTTACAGTATCAGGACCATAAACACTATTCACATTTTCAGCCGCCTGGCTTGCGTTTTCGCCTTTATCGAAGAAAAACTGTAAAATATGGCGTATTTTCTCTTTGCTGGTGTCCATCTTTGACGCGCGCTCAAACAATACTGAGTCAAACAATCACAAAACTGTCTGAGAAGTTTTTTTAGTACGAAATCTTATCTTTCTAACGCCATCTAGCGTAAACCGATCGCACTTATACAACGCGAGATACACATTACTAAAGCCATCTATTGGAAAAATAATGGATTTCTTTTTACTACACCTTATATATGCAACATCTTCCCTTATAAAAATATCATACTAAGAATCATTGATAATTACTTATTATCCAGTATTTTTAATACTGAAAGTAAGTAATTATCAATTATTCTTAGTATATTTCTATAAGGGTTTGTAACACAAACTGACTTGAAATATTTATAGAGATAAAACGAATCATCATTCAGTAAAAGTATTTTCAGAAAGATTTGCTCTGACAGATTCTTAAAAGTATTAGAGCTACATCCCTTATAGAAATATAATGCTGATAAGTAATAATTTGGCCAGTGATAATTATTGTCGTTCAATAATTTTATTACTCGTACGAGTAATAAAATTACTATTTATTACTGGCCAATTTATCACAGCCAGTGATACTTTTCTATAAGGGATATTTTGATATATGAAATATTATTGAAGCAAACTATCTAATACAATTACATATAGTGTCACAGAAGTTCACTCATAGACACAATTATTGATATCACAATCAGTATTACGTATTCTGACACATGAGATATTATTAGTTTGATTAACGAATCATCTCATGTAGCCATATGTAATATGATATAATAAATATTTCATGTAATTATATATATTGTCTTAGATCCTTAAAGAAATATCATACTAAGAATCATTGATAATTACTTATTTTCAGTATTAAAAATACTGGATAATAAATAATTATCAATGATTCTTAGTATGATATTTCTATAAGGGCACTTTTAGATATATATGCTTTT